CGTTGAGAATGGAGAATTCCTGTAGCCACTGCAGGCTAGTCAAGCTGTCATCCAGGGTGTCGGGTTCCTCCAGGCCGCCCTCCGGCCCGGCCTCCTCCGTCGCCCCAGCTCCCGAGAGGCGTAGCCAGCTCTCCGCCATATCTGCGGGGACTCTCCGAGGGGGCGGTCAGCATCCACTAGCTGAGCCGAAGGTGGCCCGCCGCGCTCTCCGGCCCGCTAACTCCCGCGGCTCCAGTTACAAGGCCTCCTGGACGCGCGCTTCCATCCCGCGACCCGGGGGGTCGCCTCCTCCGAATACGAATGTGATACCTGCGGGGACCACAGCGGGAGCTGACCCTCTTCCCTAACCTCCGAGGGGATAATGTGTGCGAAGTGGGATTCTCCTTTAAAATCGTCCCCTCAGCTGGGAAGGACCTTTAACTGCTGAGGTCTGGGAAACAGAAGCAGTGCCGGGGGTCCGACCCCCACAGGGTCCACCTCACTTTTTCCCTCTTCGATGTTTTAGAGGAGACTTAATTAGCTAAACGAGAGAAGAGGCATCCGAGGCTATCCCTTTTTCCTCAAGAGCGGGAAATCAAACCCCCTCCCTCCGCAACAAATGGAAATGGTTGAGAGAGCCAAGAAGGGCAGTACGACCCGGCGGTGGGGCGCGGGAGGGCTTCCGATCTTTGAAAAGGGATATTAGGATGGGGGATCAAGGGGAAAAAAGGGAACATGACAGAGAGTTACAGGGGGGCCGAAAGTGAATGTCCCCCAAACTTCTCTGATGTCGGTCCCCGGGCCCACCGCTTACGTCGCGGACGGATGGGAGAGCGGGCTGGTACTGAACCCCTCCCTTCCCGCTACCCGCAGCCCTCCCCGTCCCTTACCTGGCTCAGAGCGAAGCCCGGATAAAGAAAGGTTCTGGAAGACGTCCCTCCCACCCCCCGCGACTCTCTGTCTCCACCTCGAGAGCACTGCCAGCAATCCTCGTCGCCCCCCAGCTCGACGGCGCCTCTCTGAACGCCAGCGGCCCGGGGACCAGCAATAAGTAGCCGTTCAGAAGGCTTCTCCTGCTGCCATGGCGACGCTCCGCCCCTATAAACAGCTTCCGCTGCTGCCATTGGTCAGCATGTCTCCAAGGAGACCGCGGGCTCCTGCCACGCTCTCTGGCGGTAACTCTCTTCGAACACCCTCCTTCTGCCGCCCTCTCCCGCGCCACCCAGCCCCCTACC